TGGGGCGATGGTTCGAAGAACCTTGACGCGCCTTGCGCAGGGGGCAACCGCTCCGAAGGTGACGGGTGTCTCCATAAAACACCGTCGACTGTGTGTATGCTGCCCGGCAGCTCGGAGCTCTGCTCCCTCCTCAGCATAGCTGAGATTCATGGGCGTAGGCCCGCTCGACGAGCTGTTGGAGTGTGCATTCCAACCAAGTCGTGCCGACTTGAAATTAAATTCGGCATTCAATGCCACATTCACCGCCTCTTCAAATGAGGACGGATGCACACGGAAGACTTCCATTCTGGCCACGTAAGTGCGGAGGCCTTCCATACAGACGGTCACTGTGACCGCATCCGGGATGGGATCTGCTGCCATCCCGGCAATGAGAGCTCGCAGTTCATGGACCAAGTCAACCAATTCCTTATTGCCCTGTCGGGCGGCAAAAAAACGCGATCGCGCGCAATACGCCTGGTTAGGCGGCGAAAATACTCGGGAGAGCTGCAATTTCAGCTCCGCCCAGGAGGGAAACGCAGCTCCGACCGAATTGCCGCACGTCAGTACCCATTCTCGCGCTCGACCTCCGTGCTTGAAGATGGCTAGCGGTACACGCTGTTGCTCGGTTTGGGGCATGGCGGTTGCGATGACCATCTTGACCTCTCTCACCCAAAGCAGGAGATTCTCTCCATCCTTCCCCTTAAAGACCTTTACGCTCACCCTGAGCGGCTTAGGTCGGTGGAAGTCATCCGTCACCGACGGTGGCGTCATAGACACATGATGCACACATATTCTGCTGCAGGTGCTCTAGCAGCGCGTTTTCGTAACTCGAAAACGCCACTAGACGCGCACCGATTGCCTCGGGACCTTGTTCTACAACGTGTTGCACGCCCTCAGGGCCAAGCAAGGATCAGCTTGTTAAGCCCGTCCTGCATGCCCGGGGGCAAAGACGAAATTTCCTCCATCTTCATAAAGGATCAGTCGAAACGACTCACTTGTAGATTGATTACAAGTGCTATTGAGTGCAGCGGGGCCGCCGTAGCTAAGCGCTTGAGGAAGCGTACTTTAGGTCCCCGACCTTTCGTTCTTTCCAAGTACTTGTGTAGCGGATTGCAATCCGCTACTTCTAAATACTAAAAATCTTAACCAAGGCAAACGAACACTTCTGTTCATAATCGAAACTGCTTTTTATTTATTTTATCCTAATTTTCAAAGTTTAGATTTTCCTAAATATGTGATGGGTTAGAGCTAATGGGCATCATGTACATTTCCACGCCTTTTATCAAAGTATGTCCAGCCATCATATCCGCAATTGAAATGAGCGTCCTCGATTATTTTCGTTTTCAGAAGCCGGGTCATATTGCTAGGAACTGCAGAGTGTCTTTGCCGAGTTAGCAACAGACCCAGGGTGCTCGTTCGGATAATAATGGACGCCATTAAAGTCGACGACTCGAACACTCCCAAGGGTAAGAGATGGTAACGATCAGTAGGGGCGTGACTCTCAACTGGGCCCGTGAAGAGTACTGTAGATGCTGCTGATATACAGAACGTTGGCCCCAACGTTCACGATGCTCATACAGTCTCCACTATAAATGATAGTATTGTCAGGCAAGGTGCGACTTTTATTGTCCAAGAAGTCTGTGTAGATGGTTTTGACAAACCACTACGAGGTTTGATTGACATTGGTGCGTCGAATGACTTTCTCGAGCACAAGTTATGACTGGGGTCAGTCAAATGTGAAAAGAGAAATAATCAAAGCAAGTCATTTGCTTGGCAATGAAATTTAAAGACTTTCGAGGTGAAGACGAGTTTATCAGAATAGAAATAAGAAGTAGCGTACGATCTCATCACTGTGTGATAATTATTGCGTCCTAGTAGAGTATACAAACCCATCCTCTGTGTGTTGGTTAATGCGGACTCGTAGTGTCAGAGCTTCATCTGTATGAGCTGCATGGTAGCATCAGTGCAGTTGACCAGGTATTCACCTTAATTGTTCAAATAAGCTTAGATAACAGTCATATCTTCTATCGCACTGTGAAGAGGTTTTACTGGCCGCACATACAGTCAGTGCCCGAAAGAACGACAAGCGGTCGAACGACTTCACGCATGACTACGAGGTGCTTAAAACACGGAATAAAGGTACTATTTATGCTTCGTACTCGCATCACATCGGCCCATTTTGAACCAACGAGGAAATGTATCGTAAGCAGAAGCATTATCGCCAGGAAATCTACAAAATAAATTTTACTGCTAAAGTCTGCCCGTAATAAAAGCTTTGGAACAACAATTTCAAGTGATGGATAGGAAGCTCTAGTGGGAAGGACTGATTCGCCGCCTGAAATTTTATTCTGCGTTCGATGCTGCAACCAATGCAAAAACTGTTGGAGAGGGTGCACTCGAAGGCATTTGAGTGTAAGCAGAGCTCTCTGGGCTATAGAGCGTGGATGTGATTATCGAAGAACGATGAACGATGATATTGTCGAGAAATACGTTGGCGCATATCAATATCAACTTTGCATTTCGTATGATGTTGGAATTTGAACTACTTTAGTTCTTTATCATTTGTATTAAATGGCGTGGTGTTTAAATGCAAATTTCTCTGACTCCATATCCTAGTACTAAGTAAGTATGAAAAGTCTTTTTTTCAATGAATATTAAACTATTTCAATTGTAAATATGAATTTCTGCTTACAACCCAGCATGTACAGTATTACACATGCGATGCGCGTCATCTCCATCACCTACTGCCATAAAGCGCGCTTCAACCCCACAAAAATTGCTACCTCAAAATAAAAAGCGAGCACAAAGAAACTCAAGAAAAAGATACATTTAGTATGTGAATGATCTAGAGCTATATTAGCTTCTATAGCGTTTGATCGGGGTTATAACAGGATTTGACAGAGTTAAGAGCCCAACAACAGCGTCGACGCAAGCGTATTCCTGCTCAGAGAGGCTACAGTATAGAAGCGCTAATTTTTCAGCCAGCAAGGTGCTTCGTATTCTGGGTGTTAGGCAACGCAAAGTTTACTGGTCGTACAGGCCAGCACACTTTGATATGTGTCATCATCTCGATCGCTTCGAGTCTAAAACTAGCGAAGTGCCGCACATAAAAGTTTGCATCCTGCCGTTTGGATGGCTGATCTGTTGATGCCCAGCGCTTATGCAATCGAGAGATTTTCTTCTTACACAACTTGCGTGGACAGTGGTGTCCTTCCCAGCACAAATGGCATCTATCGCCGACTTTTGTTTTTTTTTCTTCAGCTACTCGAGTGGTTAAAAGAATTAAAAGCGATGCGAATGGGCTTAATGGAAACATCAACGAATTTTAATGATCGCTAGCTCATTCTATCAGCTTCTGAACGTGACTTTGAATAAATCGATCATAGTTATTTCACTCTTGTGGAATGATGATAGACAATGTACTAGCAATTGAGGTCATTCAAGTACGCAATCATCCTGCGTATACTGGAACGGTGTGTCATCTGCATCTTTCGAAGAGTTTTTATGACACGCGCTGCCGTTAAAAAGGGACTCGATGTCTTCTAGAAGAATCCCAGCCGTTTCCGGACACATGTAGTATACAAACACACCGCTCATTACGCATGTGCCTGTGAAAAGAAAGAAAACTCCGTTTATGTTCAGTAAAGGAAACAGCTTGACTACCCAAGTCATGACGACGCCCATGAGCCAGTTAGCCATTGTGGAGAATGACACAGCCATTGATCGCACGTTAAGTGGGAAAAGCTCCGCCGGGTATATCCAGCACACAGGTCCCCATGACATGGCAAAATTAAAGACAAAGAACGATGTTGCTACGATGATAGCATAACCTGCTGACTGTGAGCAACCAGCACTCTCGGTGTCGCTATTACAACCGATTGTAAACAAAATTGCAGACACTAAATGGCCAGTAATCATGCCTAGAGCACCGATTAGGAGCAACTGTCGACGACCATATATATCCACCCACCGCATTGCTGGTATGGTGCTGATAAAATTTACAATCGAAAGAATAAGCACCGACAATATTCCATTACCTAAGACATCCTTGAAGATAAGACCGCCGTACGTGAAGACGGGGTTAATCCCAGTTGCTTGTTGCAGTACTTGAAGCAGTATGACAATAATTAAACGCTTTAATACTGAAGGCTCCATGAGCTCCTTGTACCCCCCTGGTTGTCCTTCCCTCGCAATTTGTGCGCCGATAGCGCGCAGTTCTCGTTTAATTTGACGTGTCTGCCTCAGCTGTTTTAGAACAGCGGCTGCCGCATCTTTGCCTTTATGCAAGTATGTCCACCGAGGACTCTCCGGCACAAAAAAAATGCCGAGCATGACAACAATCGGTGACGCCATAGCTAAGCCATTAGTGATTCTCCAGCCTCGTTGATGATCTTCGATAATCTGGTTAACAATGTTTGCAGTGAGCAGTCCAGTGACGACGGTCATTTGCATGAATCCAGAGAGGAAACCACGCAACTCCTTGGGAGCCATTTCGGCTCCGAAAAGTGGCAATGAAAATGATGAATTGCCGACTCCCATGCCCTGAATAAATCTTGCCATAAGTAGCGAAACATGTGCCTGTCGAGGACTAAAAGCAAGCCATGATGTGCCTAAACAGAAGAGTGAGCCAGCCTGGAAGATTGTGAGGCGACGGCCAAACTTGTCCGCAATCCACCCGCCGATAATAGCTCCCACCATGCAGCCAATATTGTACGTCATGTTGTACCACAGCGTGAAGTCCACCCAACGTTGCGGCAGCTCTGTGGTTGATTGTGTACAATCTTTCATCGTGTGGCCATGCCAGCCTACACAAAAATCATTGAGAAATGATTTCATGACTAGTACACCACCAGTCACGCCCTGATCGTACCCAAAAAATATGCCACCAAGTGACGCGAAGATGCATACAATGATGGCATACGTTCGGTTGCCCTCAGTGGGTGTCATATCCTGGCGCCCTTGGTCGTCATAGAAGTTCATAGCTACGCCCACCATATTGATGTGTTTTAAATGTTATTCTGATAATCGTAAGTTATACGCGCACGTCTTTTAGCATGAGCGGAACGAAATGACCAGCATGGACGACATGGTTAGTACCGGTACAATTGGTGCAGAATCACTGTTAAGCTTCAAGTGATGTATCCGGTGTGAGCCCGGAGAGGTTTTCTATAAAGCCAGAGATTTTAAGCACGAATCTTTAAATAACGGATTTTCCCGATTAGAGTCCGGTCTTCTATTTATTAGTACCGGACTCAAGCCCAAAAAATCCGGATCTTTTTCAGAAAAACAGAATATTTTAGTGACAATGTGAAAATAGCGATTTTGGTTTTTGGTTTTCGAAGTACGTCACAAACTCAAAATAAATACAGAAAAAACATTCTAATCAATTCTAGAGAAGATACCTCCGATACGGGTTCGCTACCGCGTGTTTGGTTCCATGATGGATCGTAGGCGTTGTGCATGGATATTTAATCCCCCGGTCATCTAGTAGATATTGTATTTTTGAGGGCTCTATTCGGGACTGGACTCTAATCGGGAAAATCCGTTATTTGAGTAAAAAGAGAAAATCTGAAATCAATGCGAGAAGCTCACACGCCCACATAAGTCAATGATTCCAGGAACAATATAATGAAAGACTAATAGCTATTCTAGAGCCAGCTCGATGAGTTGTTGTCTTTCCGGGAAAAGTGTAATTTAGTGTGAGGCTCAAGCTGTTTACGAATCGAATAAAAATTTAACGCTGAATAAATGTTAATGTTTTGTTAGCTGTAAGTGGTTGTTTATATTTTCACTAGCGTCTCTACCTGACAAACGATACGTCATAGCAAGTAGTTTCTATTCATGAGCTTAATATTTTCTATCTGTCATATTGAACTGGAGCTTCCAACAAGATGAGGCGTCCGTGTCCATTGACATCCTTTTAGAGTAAACTTTAGCGTCCGGTATAGATTGAAGTGCATATTATGACCGATAATGGCAAAAACCGGAACCCATGGATCTTAATGTCAAAGCCTTGGGTGTCCATTCTTTCCTAACACCGCTTGAAAAAAATCTTAATGTCAGAGCCTTGGGTGTCTATTCTTTCCTAACACCGCTTGAAAAATAAGATTGGAAAATAATCATGCTATATCGGCAAAATTTGCTTAAATCCTATGCAAGTAGATGGCCAGGCCAAGTCAGAAATAGTTCAAATTCTTTGGACAAAGCAGCAAAAGTCAACCTACTTGAACTGGATCGTCGCAAGACCATTCACAGACCGTACCTTCCAAATTGATATCAGAAGAAGTTGTTTTGACGCCGACAAAGGCATAATTGTGTAGATAAGATGGCAAATAATTACCTAAGATTAGCCAACAAGTGTTCACGTGGACATCCACGTGAGCACTAAGAGTAGCCGTCACGCTACTTGAACCCAATGCTCTGTGCATAATTTCAATATCAGGTTGTTTATAGTGTGCTGTGCTTTACAAATGGGATTACCAGCACCAGCTCAATAACATGATTATCGTGCAATTCCTTGCACACATCCTCTAGACTTAACACCTATGCCGTTCAAGGGTTTTGCCTGGGGGAGGTGGGGCGACCAAAATTTCTTACAAGTACCTCGGTTACCTTAATCCGGGTGACCATTAGCTTAAACCCCACTATTCTGTCGAGCTTCACTGGTCTGCACCGTGGACTCATCGCATGGTACTGCTGACTGAGCAGTAACATTTCGCCATAAGAAGGATGCAAATTTCTAAGCAGCATAAGGGTAAGACCCTTTTACTCGTCGTCGGTCTTACTAGATTGTCACCTCATTACTGTAAATAAGTTTTACTTTTTATCCGAAGTAATGCAGGCATCTTGCCGGGTTCCTGCAATACTGATTGCTAATCTATTATATATTTTATCTTACTATTTGATCACTCGTGCTAAAACTAAAATCTAACAGTGTTGAGGAAGCTCGCGATAGAGCAACCGAGTCTTAGATTTGAAGGAAATTTGAACCTGACTTCATTTTAGGACCACGGCGAACGCCATGGTCGCTCATATACACGCCACTGACTTATAGGCTAATAATGGGTCTGGCTTTCCATATATCAGTCAATAGGATGATGGCAATACAGCGCAGACTAATCGTTTGCTGATATACCTACTTATGTAAAAAATCTACCTACTTATGTAATGGAGGGGCCCATCACAGCCAATTTGCGTGGTACGTGAGTTGGGCTTAGAACTTCGTGATATAGTCTGGTTCTAATCTTATATAGATTCTAACAAAATATAGTGTACGCGAGTAACGGAGTAAATTTCTGGCCCGTTTCATTGGCGAGCAGCAAATATACAATACTAAACAGTTACGACCCATCCAAACACTGACACATTACATACGGGTTTACAAACGTCTAAAAACAGCTTAAATACTAAATTATTCAAAATTATCCGAATCATTTAGTAATCCTTGGCCTTTTATTTTTTAGCGGTTGTGCCTCGGAGACCGCATAATTAAGCCATTTGGACCTGTCTGCACGAGACCATCACCAAATTCCACAACGCAGTCGCTCTTTTTTGTCCCACCAGAATTATACATGGGGGTTTTCCGCCTTACGAGCTTAGCTCATCAAGTTGTAGCAGTTTCAAAATTAAGGGCTTTGGACAATATTTGATCCTACACCACAGCTCTTTAAGCCGCGCAAAATTGTTTTGTCCCTCAGCAGAGTTGATTTTATCACTCACCAAAGCTTCATTTGGTAACGGCTGCTTGGCACATATCGCTTGAAGCCTCCGGTCGAATTATGGACTTAGCTCTTTCTGCCGGTATTTGCATTGGATAAGATCGTGCCTTGAATCTAGGTCTCGATGCAAATAGCGATTTACGATATGAAGTCCCTTCAGATTGTGTGTCCACGTCACACTTAAAAATATGTGCATCTGATATCCTTTGTGTCTTCGCGTCTTTTCTTAGATTTGATAACTGCGTGTTGCACGTAATTGCACGACGACCATGCGACGATCAGTACGTTCCCTGCAAGGGTGATGATGTATGCATTCTAGACGCTTCACCGGAAGATCATCTCTTTTAAAGAGTGCCCACCCCCTCAGGGTTAGATCACGCTGATTTTGGCCTCCACAAGGTGCGATTTGGCCCAATCAATTTTTGGTAGGCGTCTTTGTACTAACTGAGGATCGGCTTTACCAACAAGTTGCGCGACGAACGACCCCGCGCTGATACTTGACCCTTCATTTCGCCCAGTCCACAGAAGACTTGACACACAGAGTGTAAATGTCTGATTCTGCCACAGATGTATAATTTATGATAGTCACGGTAAAACTGGCCAATCACCACCTCTTGGGCATGGCAGGATGCATCGCGTCTGGCACACTTATGGCTTCACCTTACCGTGCTTTGATTAACCCTCGCGACAAAAGTTATATTCAGCATTAATGCAATACCCACCGCAAACGGGAATAAGAATGACACCAATTTGCATTTTTTGGACACAGTCCGCTACTTTTCGCCTCCCTTAACGAAGTATGATCAGACCAAAAAATTTCTGGTAGTCGGACCGATCGCCCACGTGAGCGGATGCGATACCCCCTGGTCAGACGGTGCGAACACTTTCCAGGCCTGTTTAGAGGTGTTCACGTGCCCTGGTTAGAAGGGCGTACTTTACACAGACGTTGCGAGCACTTTCCAGGCCTATTGCCCTGGTTAGAAGGGTGTACTTCAAAGGTGCAATCACACAATGGTGTGGGTTACGAAAGATGGTGTGACTACACTTAAGCAACAAGGCCGTATGTGGCTGGAACAGCCAGTAGTTATGCATTTAACTAATTTACTATATAGATAGAAAAAACTATAGATTTAGATAAAGGCGGCTTTACCGAGTAATACAATTTACAGTTTAAATTAATAATCCTTGGTTTAAGGTTGTAGTTACTCTTGGAGTAAGCGAATTGCGATCTGCTACACTCGTACAGGTTTTAAATATAGAACGACGGTCTCCGACCTTGACCAAGCTTCCTTTAAGCGAAAGATCTACGGCAGCCTAGCTGCACTTAGTAGCACTTGAAGTCAATCTACACCTGAGTCGTTACGAGTGACCCTCGGTGAGGATGGAGCAGTTCTCCTATTTGCCCCAGGGCATGCAGGATGGGCTTCCAAGGCTGATGTCTCTGCTTGGCTTTGTTGGCGTGCCACACCTCGCTTCGCAAGGACCTGAAGCAATCAGCGCGAGCCTAGAGGCGTTGGGGGGGGGGTGACTCCCCCCGACCCAAGCCGCTACATGGTAAGTGTTGAGACCTACGAGTACAAGGATGGAGATAATCTCCTGCTGTGAGTGAGAGAGTTAGAGAAGGCCATGGCGTCCTCCATGCTTTAGACCGAGCAACAACGCGGTGGCGCTAGCTATCTCTAAGCTCGGGGATCGAGCGCAAGAATGGGCACTGACGTGCAGAACTTCGGTCGAGAGGGCGATTCCCTTCTGGGCGGACCTGAAGCGGCAGCTTTCACGAGTGTTCTCGCCGCCGAAGCAGGCATATCGCTTGCGTGCCGCCAACAGGGGCAAGAAGGAATTGGTGGACTTTGTCTAAGAATTGCGTACTCTTATTGCCGGTATGAAGGCTGATCCTCTTCCCATAGTGGTAACAGAGACCGGCTTTGTGGAGTACTTCCACACTGGCGTGGCCAGAATGAAAGTGTATTCCGTGTGCACCAGTCCTCTTTGGAAGAAGCGGCGAATGTGGCATTTAATGCCGAATTCGACTTTAAGGCGGCACGACCTGGTTGGAACGCATACTCTGGCAGCTCGTCGAGCAAACCTGAACAGATGAATCCCAGCTATGCTGAGGGCGACGAGGCAGAGCCCCGAGCTGCCGAGCAGCGGTCGAATATCCAATGGTGTTTTGTCTGTCAAGACACTCGTCACCCTCGGATTGATTGTGTCCTGCGCAAGACACGTCAAGGTTCATCAAACTGACGTCCCGCTTCTTACCAGTTTTCTGGTTTGTCGCGGGGAAATGACAACACCTGTTTGGCGCAGGATGGTCTATTGGAGAAGAGCTGTTCTATTGAGCCTCAAAGAGGTAGTTCAGCCCCGAAAATCTCTGTGCTCTTGAGCGCGGAACGTGTATGCAAGCCGGGCTTGCTGGTCGTGAAGCGACCCTGATGGGCTTTGAGAAGCCATGAAATATCCTAATCGACTCTGGGACGTCGGGCAATAATGCTCGACGCTACACGACGGAAGGAAGTCAGCTGTATCTTATGGCGCTGAAGGCGCATCGGACATCGTTACTGTTTGCTTAGCGACGGGAACACGTGTCGTGGTGCCGAAGGTTCTTGTGAACCTCGGTGTCAAGTTTCTGTGATAGCGTGGAACGCTGCTTAGTCGTAGACGTAGATTCTATGTATGACCTCATCCTTGGATTGTCATGGCTGGAACACCATGAGCCATAGCTCGACCGGATGTCGAAGACCTTGGGTGCTACGCACACGTCTCCTGGTGTTGCTTTGGAGAGTCATGAATAAACCTCTGCTAGGAGAAAAAAAGCTATTATCGCGGGCACTGGATCGAGGCGGTCAACTAGCTGGAGATCGGAGTATCCGAGTTGGTGAACACTGAAGGAGGAGTCTCGAGCATGGCTCACAGGCTGAACGTGGAGTGCCACGTAATCCACTGAGCGCCGTGCAAGTATCGTAGCAGTCACTGCATGCCATGAGTGGCGTGGTCGGCCAAGGGCCGAGGCATCGAGCGCGAGGCCCCATTGATGCATGTGTACTGGCACAAAATCTTTTGGGCCTCAAAGCAGTCGCTGCATAGCACGAGTGACATGGTCGGACGAGATCCGAGGCATTTAGGGCAAGGCTCCAGTGATGCACGTGGAGTGGCACAAAATTTGACTGAGCATTGCTCACGTTTCGAAGCAGTTGCTGCATGCCACCAGTGGCATGGTCGGACGAGATCCGAACCATCTTGGGCAAGGCCCTTCATGCGCGTGGAGTGACACGTTATCCACTGGACGAAGACTACGGAGCTAGCAGCTTCTTATCGGATGTTGTTAGTAACGTCAGGGCTCCGATGGTGCAGGAAGTGGGACTAACACCGGACGACGCTGGGTGCGTGTTCCCACTGTATCGACAAGACACAAAATTTCTATGGAGAGGAGACGGTGATACCGTGAATTATCTGCAAGACGTAGGGCGTCAACCCTGACCCAGGGTGTGTCTACCGTTGGCGCACAGCTATGAGAGGAAGACGGCGACGTCACCCTCGAGGCTATGCCCGCGGAGGATGCTATTCTTGAGCTGAACGAGATGTCCTCCGAAGAATTTGGCGATGCCTTGAAGACAGGCGACTTAGCCGAAGTGGTCATTATAACCGGAAGCTGGAATCATCCAGTCGTCGCTTCTGGATAAAGCTGTCCTGGAGGATACCAAGAAGGTGCTAAACGCACGAAGTGGGTCGTCAACCTCGGAAAAATCTCTCAGATCCGTTCTATCCTTTGGCAAGAGAATTTCAAGATATCTTCACCAAAGACCCGCCGTCGGTCCTACCTTCGGCTCGAGGTGTGCGTCATGAGATTGACCTAGTTTAGGAATTGAATTCTGCGTATCACGCCAATGGAAACTGCCCAAAGAGCAGTATGATGTCATTGACGCCTTTATCTGTGCGAAGCACAGCGCAGAAATGGAGAGAGGAAGTCTTTCCATTCGACACCCACGTTTTGTGTCAGGTAGCAGATCGGCAAGTGGTATATCGTTCACGCTTACAATAAGTTTAACGCTGCAACCATTTCGACGCAGACGCCGATTCCTAGATAGAATGTTCTCCGGAACAATACGATTGACTGTACAAAGTACAGCACACTCGAATTGATCGATAGCTATTACCAATTGCCCATGAGAGCGAGTAATCTTCCGCAGACAGCGGTGAGTACTCAGAGCGGCATGCTCTGGGAGTGGCTGGTGATGCCCCAAGCGCTGTCAAATGCACCAGCTTAAATCGCCTCACGACGCACGCCCCACAAGGCGTATGCACAAACATACTTCGATGACATCTTCGTCCACTGTCGTATGGGGCACAGGACGACAGATGAGAAAAAGCACATCGTACATCTGAGAACAGTGCTCGAGTGCATGCGCACGAAAAGCTGTATGCTCATGCCGATAAGTGCATCTTCGGCGCAAAGAAATCTCTTTTTTAGGGTGATACATTGGGAGGCGTTGTAACGGGGTTACTCATACCCTGGTAACAAGGGCGTGTGTCAAACTAGACGGGCATGGTGTGACCACACCCTACAAGAAT